TGGCGCTGCACCCTCTTGGCTGCGTTGCGGTCCGCGGGGAGGGATCCGTCTAGCAGGAAGCTCGCGAGTGGGTCGATCCAGCTCGGCTCTGCTTCAGAGACGGGAGCGACCTCTTCTGCCCCACCGAGAATGTTGGGCCGAGGTAAGTCCTCTACGTACACAGTTCTCATGGCGTTGTGGTTCGTCCTGGCTAGTCGGGACAGGGCGTCGGCCTCAGTGTTCTCTGACCTCGGGATTTGCTTGGTGAAGTGTGACTGGAAGTTGAACAAAGCCTCCTTTACCTTTGCCAAGTATGCAATCATTGTGAGGTCGCGCGCTTCGTATTCGCCTGTAACTTGGTTGACCACGAGCTGGGAATCACTGCAGATAACTRCGTGCYTTGCTCYGACCTTGTGCGCTAGGTTCAGCCCGGCTATCAGTGCCTCGTACTCCGCCTCGTTGTTGGATGCCGCGAACTCAAAGCGTAGTGCGTATTTCAACTTTGTTCCGCTAGAGCCGCGTAGCACTATTCTAGCCTCGCTGCCTTGCTAGTTCGAGGAGCCATCTACGTGAAGGATCCAGSGCTCCTCATCCCAGTTCGCGCTTGGTCTAACCAGGAGAGTTGCTACCCTGGCTGCTACTTCATGGGGTTCGGACTCGATTGGCTTGGGAGCTCCAAGCTCGCCCGAACTGGGGATCTCGGGCTCGACCGACTCAGGGGCTTCGAGGCTAAACGTGCATTCTACGATAAAATCTGCCAAGGATTGGGCCTTAATAGCAGTTCTTGGCTTCTACTGGAGGTCGTACTCGCTGAGTTCGATGGCCCATTTCGTCAGTCGACCGGAAACTTCGGGTTTGAGTAAAACTTGTCTCAGAGGTTTGTCGGTCAGGACGATGACAATGTGAGCCTGGAAGTACGGGCAGAGTTTCCGAGCTGCTATCACCAGTGCATATGCTAGCTTTTCTATCTGCGGGTACCTTGTCTCTGCTCCCTGCAAAATTTTACTAACATAATATATGGATCGCTGGACCCGGTCTGTTTCCTTTATTAGTACCGAACTGACCACCTCGTCACTTACCGAGAGGTACAGTTCTAAGACCTCTCCCTCCTTGGGCCGGGCTAAGGTTGGCACACTGGCGAGGTAACCTTTTAGCTCGTCAAACGCGGGCTGGCAGTCTTGGGTCCACTCGAACCCTTTGCCTTTGATTGCTTTGAAGAAAGGTAGGCAGCGGTCTGCTGACTTGGACATGAAGCGGCTTAGAGCGGCTATGCGGCCGTTTAGC